TATTATTATTATTGTATTATTATTTAGTAGTTATAGAGATATAATTGGCTAGTTATATTCAGCACAGTAATACTATACCTAAAATAGCACAAGTGCCTTCAAGTGCCTCTGTATGAGTGCTTTCAAGTGTCTCTGTATGAGTGCCTTCAAGTGCCTTTGCATAAGTGCCTCCAAGTGCCTTTGCATGAGTGCCTCCAAGTGCTTCTGTATGAAGTGCCTTCAAGTGTCTCTGTACAAGTGCCTTTGAGTGTCTCTATACAAGTGCCTCTGAGTGTGTCCACACAGTACCTCTAAGTGCCTCTTACACAGTTTAGCTGTTACACCTCTTATGTGTAAAAAAGTTATAAAAAGAGAGTCTTTTGTTCCTTTTGCTCAAGTTAGAGTTCTCTACCCTCTCATAGAATCTAGTCTTATCTAACTATCCTTATTACTCTTCTTATATTTGTATAGTGTAATATTCTTTCTTTAGATTATTCCTATTGTAAAGGATATTACTGTAAAACTTGTTATTAATAAATATTATCATCTTTATAAACCATTATTATCTTGAACCATTTGCCTTCTGCTATGAAGTAAAAGTATACACTTCATGTCTATCCTGTGTATATTTATAAAGTATATTACTGCACTGGGTAACCTTGTTACTTTGCTATAACAATATCAAGAAGGCTATAGTATTGTAATAATATATTTAGAAAGGCTTTTTATAAATATACATTTAAGCAAATTGTATTTAGAAAGGTCTAATTACATTATTTATTATAATTATTTTTTTTTTAAAATAAAAATTATATTAATAATAAATACTTTATATAATCTAATAATACAATAAATTTTATATAACTGCAACACTGCAGAGGTAGAGACCTGGGACATTTGTAGTAAAGATAACTAATTAGAAAGGTTGTGGTTTGAAATACAGATCGGGTTATGGCAGTACTCCAAAAGGTAGCATGAGATATGAACTTGGTAATGACAGCATAACAGGTACTAGTTAGGAATAAGTTATTAATAATATACTGAAAACCTTTGTAAAAAATAGTATATATATATATATTCCACATAAAAGTAATAAAGAGACAGTGTCATTAAAAAAAAAAAGCAATAAATTTTATATTTATTTTTGTCTATAATTTTCTTATATTTAGTAATAAATTTTTAATAGTTTTTAAAAGTTTTGCTTGTTAACAAAGTTAGTTAATTAGATATTAATAGATACTATTGTTTAATAAACAATTTAAACAATTACAAAATCAAGATTAATCTTCAATCAATATGCTAAAATAATCAAGTGTTTGAGTGTTTAAGTGTTCAAGTGTTTGTTAAAAAAAAACTTTATTTGCTATTTTGAAAACTACGATAAATAAATAATATCTTATATAATACACAATCCAAAATTAATTTGTTAGAAGAACAAAATTTTAAGCTTATTATAGAGATTAGTGAACTTAAAATGAAGTATGCTAATTATTTACAACTCTCTCCAATGATTACTCATACAAAATTTCAACTAACGAAAAACAGAACTTTTGTTAGAGAGTTGTGACCTTACAGTGCAATTTGTCTAGAGGTCAATCTTCTACCTTGGGGGACTTTTCTAAGAGGACATTTGGTATGCAAGCCAGGAGTGTTATTATATAAAATAACTAGTAGGGGCTTTTCATCCAATACCCTTGTATAAAAAAATCTTGGTAAAAGGAGTAAGTTACATAGTAGGCTGCTACTTTGTCAATGAAGCTTGAAAGCTATTACTTCAAAAAAAAACAACAGAAGTTTTAGATTTTATCACACTCTTTAGAAGTTTTGAAAATACTTGCAATGAAGACCTTCTACTATATTTTTCTATTTTGAAATTTTTTTAAAAATTTTGGCTAAAAAGTAAAAAAACTAGCATACCTCCTTCAAAAGATTGGCAGTATTTACCTCTTCCAAATTAGAACATGTCTACTGAAATGGAATCTCCTATAAGCTTATTTGGATTATACTTTGCTAAATAAACAATGACAGTATATTAGAGATCAGTCATATGTAAAAATTTTTTAATGTTAGATATTTTTTTTATTTTCTTTTTTAATTTTTTATTAGGCTATACAAATTTAATTACTTGGTTTTCATAATATAAAACTTTTAAATAGACCCAGCTGGCCGGCTTTTTTTTTTAATTTTCATATATAAAATTTTATAAAATTTATATAATTTTTTTTTTTTAAAACCCACCCGGTTATTAAAACATATAAAAATTTTTTTTTTTGAAAATTTCAAATTTTGACCCGGCCGGGTTATGAAAACCAATTAATTAATTTTGCATGGCCTAATTCTTTTAAAATAAAAATTTTTTTTTTGGCCCAATGTACCCTTTTGCTGTGGGGGTCTCATATTACAAGTACTGTATAACTAAAGATATATTTAAAAACTAGATCTAACAAGCTAGATAGCTAAGATATTAGCATTAAACATACATATACTGCTTACAAATGGCAAGCTTGTGAATGATAGACTTAATTGCCCAAGAATTAATCATTAAATCTAATTTTGACTAGAAACTTTGATAGTTTACGTGCGTACAACTCCAATACCGGCAAACCAATTATAAGCTGGAGGTTTTCATTAATTCTAAGCGTATAACCATCACCTGGTTGTATATTCATTTTAGACATTATGAGTATTAGTTACTGTAATCCTATCCATGATTTTAAGTTTGTGAATATATACATTAATTTTATTTATTCAAGTTTAGTTGGTAAATTTTATTTTTAACTAGCATACTTAACATTTCATATACTCTATAGCATTAGAGAATCAGCCTTTGAAATATAAAGAAATTTATCACTGCATTTTACGCATATTTGCGATTTTAATCGAGTAAAACTTTAGAAAGGTGCTATACGATCATTTCGGTCGTAAACTTTATCAACACACTCTATTGCTATATATACAGTCTTTATGATTTTTGAATAATTTTACATTCTAAAATGTAATAAAATTTACAATGTAAACAAAAAAGCAATTTATGCTTTGCTTTAACCACTTTGATGTACTCATGAAAAAAGGCACAAAAAAAATTGGAATAAGATAATGGGACCAATTTCAAAACTTTTTTTCAACTTACTCTTCAATTGGCAAACCCCATTCCAAAAAACAAAGTCTTCGATATTCTTCTTGATCAGGTGATCTTAATTCCCTATTTTGAAATTATGTTAAGAACAAAGATATTTAAGTTTATAATTTCTAGAAATAATTCATCAAAAAAAGAAAAAACTTTAGATATGAAAAGGGATACGGATTAGAATTATATTTTAATAACTCATCAAGAGCCTCAGACTGTTTAATTGCAATTTTCATATTGCTCATTTTTAAATAATCGATAAAATCTTCGTCATTACTCATTTCATTAAAATCTACAACTTCATTGACGTCTTGTGATCCTCCAGAGGAAGATTTTATTTCATTAAACTTTTTGTTAACTTCAAAGAGAAAATTAACAATTTGAGGATTACGTTCCCGTAAATTACGACAAATTATGTATCTATTAAAATAAAATATAATAATAATAATAATAATAATAATAATAATAATAATAATAAATATATATGTATTAAAATAAAATTAATTTAACTATTTGTAACGTTGATATTTGAACGAACCGTTCAGAATTTGCAGGTCGACTTGGTAGGGGCTTAATAATACATATTTTTTCAAAATGGCGATATAAGATCCATACCATCCCAGCAGTAAAAGGAGTGAAAACGTCAAATAATTTTAAAACGAAATCACCATCTGAGTGAGTAAAATTTTAAATCAGAAACGTATTGAAGTAGTAAAATGACAAGATTAGTGAAAAATTGTTTACTCTTTTTTAAGGTCATAAACATTGCGATTATCTGACATAATATAAGTTGTTTTAAATGATGTTCCTGAAGATTTTCACGACCTCGGACATCAAATCCCTAATCATAATAATAATAATTTTATTTATGAAAATTTAAATAATAAGATATAATATACATCATACCCCAGATTGGAATCTGTCCGACTCAGAGTCTGACTGTCCTGATTCAGAAACAGATTTCCCAGTTTTAGGATTCTCAAGCGGGTTATCCAGCTTAAGAATTAGTAAGATTAGGTTTAGGTTTAGGGTTAGTATATTAATTAATTATATATTCTTGAGCCGGCTAATCCACTTAAGAATTCTAAAGTTGGTAATCCGATTCTGAATCAGGACATCCGGATTCTGAATCGGGTGGATTCTAATCCGGGATAAAACACATATAATATTAATATAATTTACCCCATCAGCAGTAACAAAGTCAGCACCTTCATTTTTAGTTCCCTTAATAACTTCATTTGCAAAATGTCGAATATTTTCCTCCTTATAAAGATTACCTACATCAATAATCTATATTATGATAGTACTATAAAGTGGATATGAGCATAAACGATTTTTAAATCATACCTGTACCATCCGCACCATAACAAGGTTTAAAACATTCACGAACCATAGTATCTTGTCTGAATCTATCTAAATCGTAATCTTGATCACCAGTCAAAGTAATGCCCCAACCGTAAGCCTTGTCACCATAAGAATGTTTTCTCCATAATATATATTCTAATATTTAATTATATTCAAGTAAATAATTAAAATTTAAACTAAAATAGCCGATCATATAATCCACTAAAAAAAACCTGAAAATCCGCCCGGCCCGCCACATAAATCCGTGAACCAAAATACCTAAACGATGAAAGGTTAATTGTTTTTGATATAATTAAGAAAAATAAATCTTTTGAAAAAAATTTTCATAATAATTATTACCAAATCTTTTACTGGATCATATCTTTTTACACCAGTAAAATTGACCAATGCATCTAAACATGCTAATTTAGAAGCGGAACGATTCATGAAAATCGATTGACCAACTTTTTCATAAAGATTAGATTTTCCACGAGCGGACGTAAATTTTTCATATGGAATATTCTTAAGTTCTTTCTAAAAGATATAATAAACAAATAAATATTAATGAATAAAAAGTTGGAATATCTATATTTAAATAGAATTACCTTTTTATCGATAAGTAACTGCACGACATCCTTATTACAAAATTGGTTATAATCTGGTTCAATAATCTTCAAATAGATAAAAAAAAAATTTTTTTTAATAATTAATAATTAGATTATTTTATGAGAATCGATTAAAATTGTATAAATTAAGGAACTTACAGGTCCTACTACAATTTTTAGACCATTAATAGATTTTCCTTCTTCATAAGGAATTCCGCAAGACAAAAAATTAGCACTTTGTTTTTGAATCTCGATTTGAGGTGCAATTTGTCGATTTGAAAGGTCATTTGGAGAAGTATCCATATGCATAGAATGAGTAGAAGAAATCTGAGATGCAGAATGATAACTATTATGACCAGGATAATTTTGTTGATATGGATCTGATCTATGTTGGTGGGACTGTAAAGGAGGACATGTTTCGCGTGTAGGACGAGGAATTGGAGAAGCTAAGGGAGTATTGCGATACTCGGGATCTTCGTCTTGTTAGTTTGACAGATGAGAAAAAATATAAGAAAAATATATAAGATTAAAATAGTATGTATTGAATATATACGCAACTTACCAGTATATGGATCGTAGTTCATAATGTTTGAATATAAGGTAAGTATGGCGTGTGAATACATTCAGTTGCAAATCAAGGTTTTTATTTAATTGTGAAACATGAAATAAAAAAAGGAAATTTTTAGGGAAGATCAAAACTCTTAATACTGTAATACTGTAATATCGATATCGTTAGTAGTATCGATATATCGAACTTTAATTTTACACGACAGGTACATTTCATATAGTTTTTTCATGCAGGATTGATAATATAGATGTTAAAAAATAAGATATTTCTTTGCTAGTTCGATATAGCATGGTTTCAACAAATCGAATTATTCTTACTTTATTTACTTCAAAGTCATGTTCTCTTTGTGTCGATGCAAAATATACAATTGATCAAGTGAGAAAAAAGGTAATTTTATTTTAAATTGTATTTATCAAACAGTTATTTTTTTATTTGAATATTTTATATTATTCATTTTATTATTAAATATTACAGATTCCATTTGATTTTATTCAAAAAGATATTAAACATTCAGAAAATTCTGTTTGGTTTCATAAATATAAATATGATATTCCAATTCTTCACTTAAATGATCAATTCTTATTTAAACATAAAGTAAAGCAGGATAAATTAGAGTTAGTACTCAAAAAATTTCAAGAAAATGGTAAAATTCCTAGTGAATTTATTGATGAAGAAGTCAAACCAAATTAATTAAAAACTTAAAATTTTTATTTATTTGACTTCTTTTTTTTTGAATTGCTACTTTCATATACTACAGTATACTGTATATTAGAAAGCTAAAACATTGTAATTCGATGAATTGATTATTAATTATATACTGTAAATAGAAATCAGGCAACAGTTATAAATTCTAAAAGGTCTTAGTATATTTTTATATGAGATTACTTCGATGTTATGTAGAATTAATTCAATTGTTGGTTGTTGATACCAAACTTTTCAAGAAAATTTTATGTTAGTACGTGGAAGTAAGTTTCATAGGTAAAAATTTTGAGTTACGAATGATTTTTTGATTTTAAAGTCGCGTTATAAAATTGGTAATGATGCAGACTTAAACACAATGGTCTTTCCAAAAAGTGTGAAAGCATTGTTGTGTTTATTAACTGGGTTAAGATTTTTAAGATGCAAGAATGTAGATCCTTGTTGTGAAAGTTTTAAAGAAAAAAGATAAGTGGTTAAAAATCTTCAAAAATAGAAATTTCATTTGTGAATATACTTCCAGAACAGAAGTTAAAACAGAAGCAAAATGCCTGCTCTCGTTACTTGTTCGTAATTACCAGTGATATTCTTCGTTAAAAGAAATATATTGCTTGTCCGAAGGATACTGCTGACATTATTATATAGATAAATTCTAATATTATCTTGCAACCCTAAAACCCTAACGCTGTAACGGAAAGGGAATAATAAACTTGATGTCTGGGTGTTAATAAAATCCTGAATTCTAATTGGTTATTCATAATTCTCAATTTTTCATCGTTTGCCAAAATATTGGGTGCACTAATCACAATATTACAGCAACTATGGCCAATACAGAACAAGATGACTTTAATCGCAATTTTCGGCCAATACAGTAATTGATACTTTTACAGCTGTACTATACTTGGTGAGGGTCAAGCTGCCGACTCATGCCAGTCCAGCTGGCTACAGTAAAAACACCAAAATTAATAAGGTTTCGATGCTTTTGGGGCATGATGTGAGTTAAACTGACTGGATTGAGATTGAAGAACTATATTCTTAGCAGAAGGTTGTTTCTGACGACGTTAGGTGATTATCTTATAAAGGATCTTTATCGACTGATAAACAGTTAAAAGGACGGTTACCAAAGCTATACCGGTATTACCAAAACTGGAGAAATTTGGGAATATTAATCTCATTGATTTTACATAAAGTTTCATCAGGTTTTGCGACTGTTCTCATAAATTCTGGACAACTGAAACTTTAACACATGGACTGCACATTTTAAAAAAATTAATACCTTAACTTTCACAGCTCATACCTTGATGATTTAATATTAAAAAGAAAGCTTAGATCGTAAGCTTTCTTTTTACTATTAAATTATTAAGATAGCTTCAAAATCCATCAAAAGATATGAGCTGTGAAAATTAAGATGATAAATTTTTAAAATGTTAATCTGCCTTATTTCTATTGACGGCAGCCCCATATGATCATTCCGCTGAACGTCGGTAACTTATCGATTCGATCGATAGTTGTTATCTTGTTCCAAATTTATAAAGGTAGCTTTAAATATACATAAAATGATTCCATAAGGATCATGATCGTATGACTCTTCTTTCTGATTCTAAATGATTATTTAAAATCTTTAGCCGAATTAAAACAAGATATTCATGTTGAAGGTATTTTAATGACAATTTTTTATAATAATTTGAGTAATACTTTAATAAAAGCATACCAAATTTCGATCACATACGATTAAACAGTTCAATTTATTTAATTTATTTTAGACAACAATATATTTCTTGCATAATAATGTCAATTCATCCAAAAAGCTTGCTTAAGCCTTCGACATTTCATATACTGACTAGTGAAAAACGTGTATATAGCAATAGAACTGTCCAGTTTAATTTTTGTCTTTTCTATACATGCGGTATTGTTCTTTCTAGATCACCGAACTATATTACAGATAAAAGTTAACGTATGCAAAAAATACTTGTAGATCCTCTTAATAAATCTTGACCTAGTATCATTTATCTCTTTCTTTGAAGTCATAATAGTAAATCCTTCGTCGTCCATTGCTTTTTATTATTAGGTGAACAAACACTTATAAATCCACTTATTATTGGAACTAAAACCATACGAAACCTCTGACGAAAGTCGAAACCCCAAATTCTTCTGACGAAAGACGAACCCTAATGCACCCGCTAAAAAAAAAAAGTTATTGACACTCATAATTTATTCAGAGAACAGTATATGTATGTTTTGTTCTAGACAACGTTAGGGTTGTTATAGACCGGTTGAAATAACCTTGCCAAAAAGCCATAGTACTCATGGAATAACACAAATAATGAATTAAAACATGCTGGCACAAAATAAAGTTGTAGGATCACAAAGTAAGCACTAAGCGATTTCTCACTAGAACTTATGTGTAGTGTACTAGTATAATACAATATAAAATACTTATTTCTGACTCCCTTTAAACAATTCAAGCGCTTATTATACAATAAAATTTTTTGTTAGTTTTATACATATATTCGTCTTTTATTAGTTTTGTATTTAAGATTTTAAATGGCGAAAGACGAAACTAGGTTTCGCGTTTCGTCATCGCGAATCTCGAGGTTTCGTCTAACAACTATTCGAGATAGCTCAATTTACTTGGTTTGAACGGAAATTTATGGCAGAGAATGTTCTTGTTAGCCGGCAAATTTTACCTAAATGTAAAAAAAAAATTCGAATATAATTAGACTTCAATAATAAACGTGTCTTTCTAAAATTTTTCAATACATGAAATTATTTCTGTTAAAAGATAAGTATTTAGTTATTACTTGAACTGGTAAATTTTATTTTAATTATACCTCGATGAATATTTTTAAAATATCATATTAGAAACAAATATAAATATTGATAACGCCGAATCAAATTCGGTCGAATAATTATTGACCAGTTATCCCAAAATTATGAGAACAAAGTAATTGTATTACATTAAGTTGTTCTCATAAATTCCAGGGTAGATTAAAGTTTGTTTTAAGAACTACCTACTCTTCAGAACTTCAGTCCGGAGACAGCGATGTAATTCCCAGTGATTTGTTTATATGGCGAAAACGAAGAAATTTTGAAAAAAATAATTTTAATTTGTCCCAAAATTTATAATAACTAACTGCATATAGCCCGGTCACTAGTAAAGATGTTTTATGTTTATAAATTATTACTATTGACTTATTTTAGTATTTTATTGTTAATGTTCGTGTGACTCCTTTTGGTACGTACGTAGAGCTATTACCCGTACGGGTCACGGGTCGAAAATTGCTCTAACCTGGGTTAAACATCATAGGAAGACTTTCGTATAATTGGCTGTTTAAATCAATTTAATTTTACATTATTTTTACAGTTTAAAGTACTTTTTAAAAAAAATAAAACTGCAAAGAATAAACAAAAATGAAGTACAGTCAAACCTCTCTAAAATCACACTGCCGGGATCATAGTGACTTTTTTTGAAAATGTGCTTATAAAAAATAGATATGCTTATAAAGAGAATTTTTATATGATGTGCTTATATAGAGGGTGACCATAGAGAAGTTTGACTGTATATAGAAAGTTTTATTAGAGTTGTAGGACTCCACTATTAAAAATAATCAAAATCCCTTTTTGTTTTAGAGAAGTTAGCATAATAGCGACTTCTTAAAGATAGATAGAATTAGGTTATCACTATGCTAACTTCTCTAAAACAAAAAAGGATTTTGATTATTTTTAATAGTGGAGTCCTACAACCTTAATAAAGCTTTCTATATACTTTTTTTTGCTTATTCTTCGTAGTTTTATTTTTTTTAAAAAAGTACTTTAAACTGTATAAATAATGTAAAATTAAATTGATTTAAACAGCCAATCATACGAAAGTC